CTCTAAGGGAGAGCCCAGACACCCTGCAGAGGAAACTCATTTGTCACTACCCAAAGCTCCTGACCATAGATGAGGGTAGGAACGTAGACCGACCAATAAACCAAGAGCTTCACCTTCTGGCTCAGCTCTCTCTTCACCACAACAGACTGGTACAACGCCCACATCACTGCAGACACAGCACCAATCCACCTGTTGATCTCCTGCTCCATTCTTCCCTCATTCATGAACAAGACCTGAGATACTTAAACTCCTCCACTTGGGGCAGGACCTCCTCCCTGACCTGGAGAAGACACCCTACCGTTTTCTGGCTCAAGACCATGGTCTGGGATTTGGAGGCACTGATCCTCATCCCGGCTGCTTCACATTCAGCTGTGAACCACTCCAGTGAGAGCTGGAGATCAGGATCTGATGAAGCCAATAGGACCACATCATCCACAAAAAGCAGAGATGTGATCCTAAGGTCACCAAAAAGGATCCCCTCAACACCTTGGCTGCTCCTAGAAATTCTGTCCAGAAAAGTTATGAACAGAATCGGTGACAAAGGACAACCTTGGAAGAGTCCAACTCTCACCAGAAACGAGTTGACGGCGAGGGATGCATAAATCCCATGACACAACGAATCGATTATGAAATTCGCTGCCAACGCTTTTAATAATCGATTTTTATCGATTTTATCGATTCATTGCTGCAGCCGTAAGGTGGACAGCCAAGATGTCAGGTGTGTTGTCTTGTGGTTTCTTTATATATATTACACATCTGACGGACCCTCCTCTCCAGGACCCCTGAATAGACCTTATACCAGGGAGGCTCAGAAGTGTGATCCCCCTATAGTTGGAACACACTCTGTGGTCCCCCTTTTTAAATAGGGGGACCACCACCCCGGTCTGCAAACCCAGGGGAACTGCCCCCAATGTCCACCCAATATTGTAGAGTCTCATCAACCAACACAACCCCACAACATCCAGAGCCTGAAGGAGCTCCGGGCGAATCTCATCCACCCCCGGTGCCCTGCCACCGAGGAGCTTTTAAACCACCTTGGTGACCTCAACACCAGAGATTGGAGAGTCCGACCCAGGGTCGTCAGGCTCTGCTTCCTCATGGGAAGACGTGTCGGTGGGATGGAGGTCTTCAAAATATTCCGCCCACCGACCCACAACGTCCCGAGTTGAGGTCAGCAGCGCACCATCTCCACCATAAATAGTGTTGGTGGCGAACCGCATCCCCCCCTGAGACGCCGTATGGTGGATCAGAATCACCTCAAAGCAATACAGAGGTCTTTTTCCATGGCCTCTATATTTTATTTAGGATTTGTTTAGGATTTAATCATGTCAAGAATGGTGAAAGTTAAAGYTCATTTAACAGATGAAATGATCACCACACAGTTTGGGTTTTTGTTGACCCCCCCCACCCCACCTGTCTTCTGCTCTTTCTACCCAGGTCGAAGCGKTTCTTGTCGTTCGTCGACAGCTGTCTAATCAAAAACCACCTGCACCGCCCCGCCACAGACACTCTGCTGAAGCATGCCTTCATCAGAGACCTGAACAATGAGAGACAGGTTCGCATCATGCTCAAAGACCACCTGGACCGAACCAGGAAGAAACGAGAGAAAGGTGAGGAGATTCGTAAAACATCTCGGTCACTGTAATTTCTCAGTCTTTACACACACACATCCTTGCATTTGCATCAAACTGAGGACTTTGTATTGACTTCCTTTCATTTTTGACATTTTCCCCAAAATTAACCATTACTGGTCTATAGTTAACCCTAACCTGAACCAGAACNCACAAATACACTAATATATGTATTTAAACAATTGTGCTTTAAGAATGTTTTTTATTCAGAATCAATTTTTTTCAACCAATGTCCATTACAAGTTGTGATATTCTGAAGTACTGCTGTGTGAAATAGCTGTGAACAATCAATATGTTACCTGTTGTAGATGCTGTAGGTCTTTGAATCACCACAGTTTGTTTAACCTGACTCTGTTAACATACATGTTAAAATATATTAAAAGTTGAAAACTTACTTTTGTTGCAGTTGTCACTCAGTCTTACATCAGCAGCTGCTCTGTCCCAGGGAGGGAGCAGAACACGTGATCACATGATCACCATGCATTGCTGCTGAATGCACTGATGAATCAGTAATGCATACACGTATTGGCTGAGACGTGACTGATGAATCAGTCCACCTCTATGTGACATTATTCTTTGTTCCTCCACAACAGATCCCAGCTCAGATCAAGCTTGTGAAACTTTACTGGTTTCAGTTCTTGTTTCATTTCAAAAGAACAAAGAGTACTTTATGTTTTTACTTTTAATGTAGCGTCTCTGATTCCACTGTTCTTCCACTGACTCTGTTTAATCCAGGAATATTTTAATGACTTGATATGAGTGGCACACCCAGACGATCTCAAGTCTCATCAGTGTTTAAATGTAAACAAATGACTCATGAATATTGGACAGAAAACATGACACTGCTGATGTTGTCTGATGAAGTGTGTGGCAGCCATTAGTCCCTGAATTTCCCCTGCAGCAGGTAAAGGCAGCTGTAGGAGCTTCCAGCTCTTGACCCTGATGAGCTCTGTTATTGTTTTGGCTGTGTGTGATTTCTATCTTTATCTTTCTGCAGTTTGACTGCATCTTTTCTTTAAATTGTAAGAAAATAATATTTCTGTAATTTATAGAACATTCTTCAGTGTTTCCATCACTTTGACAGTCTATAAAATTTAACACCAGATATGTTGAGGCTCTTATTTGTATTTTTTTAACATTACAAAAAGGGGAGAAGAGGGTGAAGTTAAGCTGCCCTCCACCAGTGCAGAGG